TGCCATTGCTGGCCCCGGCAATTTAAAATGTAACATTAGGGAGAGGTTCCCAAGATAACTGGGTGCCTCTTCTTAGGTATGCTGGGAGAAGCCCTAATTTGGGCCACGAATCCTGTGCCTGGAAGCTGGAGGGCACCAAGGTGGCACCCTGGGAATGGCTTCCCAGCAGAAACACTTTGGAGGACCTAGGAATATGCTAAGCATTACCCAAAGGTGCAACATTCAACATTTCCTATGAGCCTCTTAGGCTGAGGCTCCTGTGCCCGGAGGACCTGTTCCCCGCTGAGCGTGTTCTTATACTGAGCCTGCAAGAGTTAACTGTGCAAAGAGCAGCTGGTTCCTGCGCCCTTGATGGGCGGGCAGTGGTAGAGAGATCAAACTCCGTGCTGTGGGAAGTACAGCAGGAGGAATGACACCGTAATCCCTGGTGGATTCCGAAAGTCTTGCTGGACAGGCATAGGAGGTAGAAGGAAAAGAACACGAGCAAATGGAAGTGAGACAGGATATTCAGGTCATGGGGAGAGATTCCATAAATTTCAGGTGTGCTTTATATGAGGAGCTGGCAGGCAGGAAGCAAGTTAGAGCGACCTGAGCAACCAGTGACCGTCAGGAAGAGGTGGGCAGGTCTCTAAGTGGTTGGTTCAACAATGGAGACCACCCACCTCACTTGTAGATGGGACGCTGCCTGAGGAAGGTCTGAGTGACACAGGGGCTAGAAGGCGGCCAGGCAGGACTGTGGTGAGAGAATTTGGGTTCTGCAGTCAGGCAGCTTGGGCTCAAAGCCCACGTCTGCCTCTCATCGGCTGTGAAAGGCTCAGGGAAGACACCCCACTGCTCTGGATTCTGACCTCTGTCTTCCTTGGCAAATTGGGGACTTAATAAACTAGAGTGTATACCTGCAGGGTCAGGGCACGGAATAAAGGCAGCTACTCCCTTTTTCTACCTCGCTAGCTGAACTGGGCTTGCAGACTAGGGTGCGGGTTCTGCCTTTGTTCCCAGAGAGACTGGGAGAGCCTGGCCTGCAGTTTGAGAGGGCAGGATCCCAGCGCCGCCTGGTGGCCCAGGGCGGCTTTGAGCCAGGTCCTGTCAAGGTGCATCTCTGAGGCTCCTTCCCTAAACCACAGGTATCCGGTTCCTTTGTGCAAACTCTGGCTGGGGCCAGCCAGGCCACCTGCTCTGGGATTAGGAGGCGGCTGCAGTCCAGGCAGGAAGAGCAGAATAATAAGACTGGCTCTGTTCCCAGTGGTGACTGAGGAGTTCTGGGTTCAGACATGGGCATGCTTCATTTAGTATTCTCAAACTACACTATTTTGAGAAAGATTCTTGAAGGAATGAGGCATAGTTTAGTGACTTGCCCAGGGTCACAGCCAGTGAGTGTCCAGGTCTGCTGGCCTTCAAAGATATCCCATGGAACCCCATTTTAGCCTTATCTGCTGCTTTCCAGGGGCTGGGAGGAAGGGAGAGTGACAGAAGTCTGCCCCATGGGCATGGAGGCCTGCAGCAAGCTTGGCATGGGACTGGAAGCCTCTGAGCAGGGGCTGGAACCCCATAAATTCTAGAACGGTCTCCACCAGCTTCCAAGCCCAGCCTCCAGAGCACCAGCCTCAAAGTCCCTGCCATTCCTGACAGTCAGTCTTACTGGGATTGCAACCAGAGGCAGAGGTGGGGGCTTTAAAGGCAACCTCACCAACCCTGAACTTTGGCTGGCCAGTTAGAAAAGTAAAAGTAGCAGGAAGTTGATTAGGCACTGAGTGAGGACTCCCAGATTTGGATACGTTCGGTCAACACCTCACGGCCACTTGGAGGTGGGCCTATGCCTCTGCACGGCAGGTGAGGAAACAAAAAAACAGCCTCCCAGAGATCAAGTCTTTGCAGAAGGTCACACAGCTACAGTTGGTGACAGTGAAATGTGAACACCCACGTCTCAAAGGCCTGCTTTGGTTCAGATTCTAGAGTGGACCTGGAGTAGGCCCAGGGCATGCTGGGCCACAGTGTGGCAACCTGGAGGTGTACCACCCACAGGGTGGCATGAACACCTCTGGGACCAGCCACCACTGAGTTCGGAACAGGCACAGATCCTTCTGTGGCTGTACCAGACTAAAACTCCCTCCTGTGACTGCTATGTGTCTATTACAAGAACAGGCACCTGGGAATGTTTTAATGCATGATGAGACCGGGGCAGATGGTTTGCCTGCTGGGGACTGAGAGGCTGCAGCCCCGGCTGAACCAGCTGAAATGGAGGGAAGCAGAGATCCGGCCTGAGGAGGATGACCCCCTCTCCTCATAACCTGTGAACCTCAGGAGGCAGCGTCTTTTTTTGTCAGGGTGTGAAAGACCAGCATGCCTAGGGCTGGCACCCCCACTGCTCTAAGGCCACGTAGGTGTCCTTCCTCTGCCTGGCCTCATGTGGGACTCAGCCTCACCATGGTGGGAGGCTCTGAAAGCAAGCTGAGTTCACTTCTCACTGTACGTTGAGCTGCCAGCTGGGAGGCTAGATCCGTGGGTGCCTACCTGGTTCCTGGGCGGCTGCCAGCAAAGGTTCAGTGGGCACCTGTGTGAGGAGGATAACAGGCATGAGCTGGGAGGCACTGGCAGCCTACTGGCACCCTGCTGGCACAATCAGCACCAGGGCCTAGTAGAGGGAGCTGCCCCAGACAGATCCAAGTCCCAAACTCTAGTACTGCATTGGCCATGAATGGAGAAGAGCATGGGGCTGACCAAGGTTCACCTGCACTTGGCTGCCAGAAGACAGACTGATCAAGCTGGGCACAGGGCTGCTGCTTTATGCCAGCACCCACCTCATGCTAAGGGGAAGGTTTACCCAGGAGCAACTTCAGCTCCCTCTATAATGGGCATCATGCAGTGAATTGATGCAGTGCAAATTATAAAGATCTTCATGCAGTTGGTCTTGGCACCACCGGAAGGAGCAGCTGAGTCTGTGACCCCATTTTACTTCTGGGAAAGAGGCAGGTGAGCTCTAATGACTTGTCCAAGTCATGCCGAACAATTGGTCAGGACTCAAACTCAGGCCTAGTTTTCTACAAAGCCTGTGTAAGACTGTTTTTACTTGGCTATTCAGTGCTTCCTAAGTCATCAAGGCAGAGTCCTTGTTTCGTAGGTAAACAGCAATGACATTTCCAGCTTCCTCTCAGTGCAGCCTGATTCCAGAGGTATCTTGGGTCATCCAGTCTCTGCTCACTCTGCATCACCGGCAAAGCAGAAAGAATCTGCACCAAAGTGGTCCCCACCTAGCTCTGCCTGATCCTGGCTGCTGGGGAGATCTCAGGTAACCAATTCCCCTGAGCCTCAGCTTCACCATCTGTCAAATAAGGGGTTGCCCTTCTGTGGCATGCTGGTGTCAAGGCATTGTCCTTCCCAGGCAGTCCTCCTCCTACTCCTTCCTTTGCAAAGCCTTTCTGAGGTGGCCTGGAATGCAGGACTGACTGCTGGGCCATTAAGGGTCTCACCAGGGAAATTCTGGTTTTTGTGTTGAGGTCAGAATTTCTACAGCAACGGGGGCACTAATAATGGGAGGGCAAGTGGCCTAGCGGGCCTCCATCTGAAAAATAAAACACAGCTTTAAAAGAGGAAAAGTGAGGCTCCTGGTGTGTCCTCAAAAGGTAGAGATCAATCATCCTAGGGCCAGTGAAAGTACCGGCCAGTTTTGGAGAACTGGGGTGCCAAGGAGAGAGGTCCAGACAGTTCCCAGTCTGGGAGATGCCTGTTCTCCAGCACCCCCACTCCTGACCTCTTAGACCTCTGTGCCTCCGGTTCAAGGGAGATCAGCCCGAGAACTTCTCGAGCAATGGAAGAGAGAGGACGGGGTCTTCAGTTGGGCTGAAGACGTGGACAGGGCTGGGGGGGGCTGGTTGTGGACAGGGTGGAAGGCCTACTCACGCCACAGCACCTTCCAAACCCGCAGCAGCTTCCCTAGGACCCCAGGCCTCATCCACACTCCCGGACTCGGGCGGTAAGAGACAAGGGCCTCTAGGGCAGGCCTCTCTTACAGTTGGCCACCCTAGGGGCGCCGTGAGTCCTCCAAGAGCCAGGCCAGGTGAGGCCGTCCCGTGATGCCCTGCGGCCCCGCTCTGGCCTTGGCCTGCCGTGTCTCTGGGGCGGAGGCAGTGGCACTTGGAGTTCACTTGCTGCGTGGGAAGGGGCTGGCTCCCTTCGCCTGTGTCCATTTCTGTATCGTTTGCACTCAGGTCAGTGCCGACGGGCCAGACCCAGACCTCGACATGTCTGCATGGTAACAGCACAGAAGCTGCTTTCCACCGTCTTGGCGTGACCAGTGAGGCTGCCGGGCAGAGACCCTGAGGAGAATGAGGGGAGCTGGCACCGAGGCCCTAGGGAGGCCCACGAAGCCCCTGGGCAACCAAGGGCAGGACCAAGTCCCAAGAATGAAGGTGCTGGTATGGCCGACGGTCCGCCAGCCACGGCTTTAAGTGTCCTTAAAGAAGCGCGCCTTTTGGAAGGTAAAAGCCGCGCTTAGGGATGCCCCCCGTCCTGGGAGGTCACTTTGGCAGGGACGGGTTATTTTCAGGACAAGAGCACAGGAGTGTGATGGCGAGTGCAGTGGATTGTACGTGCCATGCTGGGGGGGGGGGTGGTGAGGCAACACCGTACAATCCACTCACACTTCGCTCTCTGTCCCGGTGGGGCCCGTCCCTGTCCCCGAGGCCAAGTGACCTCCCAGGACGAAAAGGGGACCCCCAAGCGCAGCTTTTACTCCCCAAAAGGCGCGTGCTTCTTTTAAGGACACCTTCTTTAAAGCCGTGGGCTGGCGGAGCTCCGTCGGCCGCCAGCACCTTCCATTCCCGGGACTCGGTCCCGCCCGGCCGCCCCAGGGGCCGCGGGCCTCCCTAGGCCTCGGTGCCCCCCCAGCTCCCTCCCTCGCGGGGTCCCCTGCCCCGGCAGCCTCACCGGTCACGCAGCCGTTCACGGCGGTGGGCTTCTGTGCCGTTACCACGTAGTTGTACGACATGTCGAGGTCTGGGGCGGCCCGTCGGCACTCGAGCGCAACGATACAGAAATGGACACAGGCGAAGAGACGGGGCCCCCACCCGCGCGCGGCGAACTCCAATGCCGCTGCCTCCGCCCCAGAGACACGTTGCAGGCCAGAGCGGCCGGGGCGCAGGGCATCACGGGACGGCCTCACCTGGCCTCTTGGAGGACTCACGGCGCCCTAGGCGGCCAACCAAAAGAGGCCCCGCCCCTAGAGGCCCCGCCCCGTCTCTTACCGCCCGAGTCCGGAGTACCCGGATGAGGGCGAGCTGTCTGGGTCCTTAGGAAGCGGCTGCGGTTTTGGAGGTGGCTGTTGCGGGCGTGAGCGGGTGGGGGCCCCTTCCTCCGCCCTCGGAACCGACCCGCTGCCCTCAGCCCCCGTCCGCGTCTTTCGCCCAACCGAAGACCCCCGTCCTCTCTCTCTTCCATTGCTCGGAGAGTTCTCGGGGCTGATCTCCCTTTTGGAACCGGAAGTACTGCAGAGGTCTAAGAGGGTCAGGGAGGGGGCAGCGATTTGTGCACCTCCCAGACTGGAACCAAGGTCCGGACCTCTCTCTCCTTAGCACCCCCAGTTCCTCCAAACTCAGCCGGTACCCTCACCTGGCCCTAGGATGATCGATCACTCTGCCTTACCCCGAGGACACCAGGAGCCTCACTTTTCCTCTTTTAAGCTGTGTTTTATTTTTCAGATATGGGAGGGCCCGCTAGGCCACTTGCCCTCATTATTAGTGCCCCCGTTGCTGTAGAAATTCTGACCTCAAACACAAAACCAGAATTTCCCCTGGTGAGACCCTTAATGGCCCAGGAAAGCAGTCAGTCCTGCAATTTCCAGGCCACTCCACCTCAGAGAGGCTTTGCAAGGAAGGAGTAGGAGGAGGACCACGTGCCTTGGAGCACCTACAGCATGCCACAGAGAAGGCAACCCCCATTTTACAGATGAGGAAGCTGAGGCTCAGGGGAATTGGTTTACCTGAGATCTCCCCAGTAAGTCAGGCAGAGCTAGGTGGGGACCCTGGGTGCAGATTCTTTCTATTGCCGATGCAGAGTGAGCACGAGACCTTGGATGACCCCAAGATACCTCTGAACAAGGCTGCACTGAGAGAAGCTAAAATGTCATTGCTGTTTACCTACGTAAACAAGGACTCTGCCTGACTTAGGAAGCACTGAATAGCCAGTAAAAACAACACAGGCTTTGTAGAAAAACTAGGCCTGAGTTTGAGTCCTGACTCTTACCAGTATGACCTTGGACAAGTCATTAGAGCTCTCTGCCTCTTTCCCAGAAGTAAAATGGGGTCACAGACTCAGCTGCTCCCTTCCTGGTGTGGTGCCAAGACCAACTGCATGAAGATCTTTATAAATGAATTCACTGCATGCGATGCCCATATAGGAGTTGAAGTTACTCCGTGGGTAAACGCCCCTTGGTGATGAGGTGGGTGCTGTTCTTGGGCATAAAAGCAGCCCTGTGCCCAGCATGGATCAGTCTGTCTTCTGGCAGCCAAGTGCAGGTGTGAACCTTGGTCAGCCCCATGCTCTTCTCCATTCGCAGCCCACGTACTAGAGTTTGGACTTGGATCAAAGTCTGGGGCAGCTCCCTCATTACTAGGGCCCTGGGTGCGTGATTGTGCCAGCAGGGTGCCAGTAGGCTGCCAGTGCCTCCAGCGGCTCATACTGTTATCCTCTCCTACAGGTGCTCCTACGACCTTTGCTGTGCTTAGACCCAGGTAGTACCCACGGGATCGCCCAGCCTCTGGCAGCTCAACGTGAAGGCGTGAACTCAGCTTGCTTCAGAGCCTCCCCACCATGGTGAGTCCCATGAGGGCCAGGGCAGAGGAAGGATACCGTGGCCTTAGAGCAGTGGGGGTGCCAGCCCTAGGCATGCTGGAGTTCCTTACACCCTGACAAAAAGACGCTGCTGCCTCCTGAGGTTCACAGAGGTTATGAGAGGAGAGGGGGTCATCCTCCCTCTCAGGGCCGGATCTCTGCTTCCCTCCATTTCCCAGCTGGTCCCAGCCGGGCCCGGGGCTGCAGCCTCTCAGTCCCTCCAAGGCCCATCTGCCCCTGGTCTCGGTCATACATTTAGATTAAAACATTCCCAGGTGCCTGTTCTGTAATAGACACTGTAGCAGTCACAGGAGGAGTCACGAAGGATCTGGTGCCTGTTCCTGAACCTGAGGCAAGTGTGGGCTGGTCCCAGAGGTGTTCCTTACACCCTGTGGGTGGTACACCTCTGGTACACTGTGGGTGGCCCAGCATGCCCCTGGGCCTTACTCCAGGTCCACTCTAGAACTAGATCTGAACCAAAGCAGGCCTTGGAGAGACGTGCGTTCACATTTCAGCCTGTCACCAACCAGCTGTGTGACCTTCTTATAAAAGACTTGATCTCTCTGAGGCTGTTTTTTGTTTTCCTCACCTGCCGTGCGAGGCATATTAGGGCCCACCTCCAAGTGGCCGTGAGGTGTTAATCAGACCCGAATCTGGGAGTCCTCACTCAGTGCCTAATCAACTTCCTTTACTTTTACTTTTCTAACCCCTCGGGCCACTGGGAACCAGGGTTGGCACGGTTGCCCAAGCCCCCACTTCTGCCTCTGGTTGCAAATCCCAGGCAAGACTGACTGTCAGGAATGGCAGGGGGACACATTCTTGGAGGCTGGTGGCTCTGGAGGCTGGGCTTGAAGTTGAGACCAACTCAGAATTTCTTTGCGTATTCCAGTCCCCAGAGGGCTCTGCGAGCCACAAGCCCATGCCCTTACTAGGGCAAGACTTCTGTCACTCTCCGCCTCCCTTCAGCCCCTCGGGAAAGCAGCATGATAAGGCTAAAATGGGACTATCTTTGGAGCCAAGCAGACCTGGACACTCACTGGCTGTGTGACCCTGGGCAAAGTCACTAAACTATGCCTCGGTTTCCTCTTCCAGGCTAATCTTTCCTGCATAGTGTGGTTGAGAATACTAAATGAAGCATGCCCAGAAGCACTTAGACCCAGACCTCGCTCTCAGTCACTACTTGGGAACAGAGCCAGTCTTATTATTCTGCTCTCTTCCTGCTGACCTGGGCTGCTCTCCTAATCCCAGAGCAGGTGGCTCGGCTTTGGCCCCTGCCAGAGTTTGCACAAAGGAACCGGATACCCGTAGGTTTAGGGAAGGAGCCTCAGGGAGATGCACCTTGACAGGACCTGGCTCAAAGCCGCCCTGGGCCACCAGGCGGCGCTGGGATCCTGCCCTCTGGGTCCGTATTAGGCTCTAGTCTCTCTTTGGGACAAAGGCAGAACCCGCACCCTAGTCTGCAAGCCTTGTTCAGCTAGCGAGGTAGAAAAAGGGAGTAGCTGCCTTTTATTCAGTTCTGACCCTACAGCAGGTATACACTCTAGTTTATTAAGTCCCCAATTTGCCAAGGAAGACAGAGGTCAGAACGGTGAGGTGTCTTCCCTGAGCCTTCACAGCCGATGAGAGGCAGACGTGGGCTTTGAGCCCAAGCGCTCGTGACTGCAGAACCCAAATTCTCTTCTACTCCAGTCCCCGCGCTGGCCGCCTCTGCCTGCCCCCTGTGTCAGCTCGGCTCTCCCCTCAGGCAAGCTGCCCCACGCCCTCCCAAGTGAGGTGTCCCATGGCCAGGTCCCACCTTCTACTTGTGAGGACCTGCCCACCTCTTCCTGACGGTCACTGGTTGCTCAGGTCATTCTAACTTGCTTCCTGGCCCGGCCACCATATGCTTTCACACCTCCAGACCCTGGCGTGGACTCTCCCCCACCGCGACCTGGAATATCCTTATCCTTTTTCCCTACCCCGGGCCTCTCGTGCCCTTTCCCTTCCTACCTCCTACCTGTCCTCACAAAGATTCTCGGGATCCACCGAGGACACGGTGCATTCCTCCCGTGCTGTACTTCCCACAGCACGTGGAAATGATCTCTCTGCACTTCCATCAAGGGCAGGACCAGCGTTCTGTTAACTCTTTGCACACAGTGCCTAGCACCGGGCACACCAAGAGGCTCAGGAAATGTTTGTCCTGCACCAGAGGCCCGGCGGGAACAGGGTGCCTCCTCCAGGCACAGGAGCCTCGGCCTAGGGCTTCTCTTCCTTAGAAGAAGACTGTTGGGCCCTAATGTTACTGCTTTCGGTAATACTCAGGATTCTAGGTCCCCTCTTTTATTTCTGCTGAAGCCATTCTCCCAGCCAAATTTCACCCATAGTCCAAAGCGCTTCATAAATTTTGCCCTGAATAAATGATCCCAAATTAAGAGAACTCCCAGAAGCAGCCACCTAAGAAAGGCATGCCCAGTTCGAGGAACTGCTGGGCCTTTGGGGTCTCCCTACGGTTAAGGGGTCCTAGCCGCAGCAGCGTGTCCCTGCCAACCACACCTGGAGCCTCCTCCCTGCTCTTCTCTCGCAGACATCCAAGAAGCTGGTGAACACGGTGGCAGGCTGTGCCGACGATGCCCTTGCTGGCCTGGTGGCCTGCAACCCCAACCTGCATCTCTTGCAGGGCCACCGCGTGGCCCTCCGTTCTGACCTGGACAGCCTCAAGGGCCGCGTGGCACTGCTGTCGGGTGGGGGCTCCGGCCATGAGCCTGCCCATGCCGGTGAGTAGTCTGGGCAGAGTGCACGGGCTCCTGGGAGATCCTCGGGGCTCCTGGGTGTGGAGGACAAAGCCCCGGTCGGGTCCCGGTTCCTCCTCTCCCAGTCCCTCAGGCTGAGATCCGGGGCCAGTCGTGGCCTTTCTCTGGGCCTCGGTCTCTGTGTCTCTGAGGCACAACGTTGGACCAGATGACCTCTGAGGCCCTTCCAGCTCTGCGAGTCAGTGATTCTGTGAATCCTGGCCTTCCAGGCCCACGTGACCCTTCCCCTCCTCCATGAAGCCTTCCTGACTTTTCCAGCCTAGTACCGTATACTTTTTCTGAATTCCCACCCTGCATTTTCGCATATAATGTGGACAGTCCTAGGTTGTTTCCTGTTCAGTGCCAGACATGGGAGTTTTCATTGAGCAATCCTGGGGGGCAGGGACCGGGCTTTGTATCGTCTGTACCTTTCCTGTCTCCCTCGGCAAAGCCATCCATCCACTGAGCACCATTCACGAGAACCTGTTGTTGCCTGGCACTGCTTTGGGCGCTAGGCATGCACCAGTGAGTCAGAAAGATAAGGTACCTGCCCTCACAGAGCTTCTGTTCTCCTTTGGAGATGCGGTAACCAGGTAAACACACAGTGAAAGAGCATTCCAGGGGCATCTGGGTGGCTCGGTCAGTTAAGCATCCGACTTCGGCTCAGGTCGTGATCTCACCGTTCGTGGGTTCGAACCCTACATTGGGCTCTGTGCTGTCAGTACAAACCCGCTTCAGATCCTCTGTCCACCCCCCTCTACTGCCTCTCTGCTGCTGGTTCTCTCTCCCTCTCTCCAAATAAGTAAACTTTTTTTTCTTTTTAAAGAAGAGTGTTCCAGAGCGTGTAAGTCAAGTAGCAGAGACAGGAGAGCAGGGTAAAGGAACAGGGAGTCACTGGGGATGAGGCAGGGACTTGCCTCCGTTGGGAGGTCAGGGAAGGCCTTCCGAGGAGACAGCCCCTGAGGAAAGGTCTGTGGAGGGTGACCCAGGTGTTCTTTCAGCACTGAGCACACAGTAGGCCTTGCCAAACCGTGAAGCCCAGGAGCACGGGAAACCCTGGGGACTGCAGGCCCAGGTCCCCAGCGAGCACCCGCTCTGTCTCCAGGTTTCGTAGGGAAGGGGATGCTGACAGGGGTCATTGCAGGAGCCGTGTTCACCTCCCCGGCGGTGGGCAGCATCCTGGCAGCCATCAGGGCAGTGGCCCAGGCAGGCACAGGTAAGCCTGGCATGCAGGAGGGGCTGCTGCGGGGGGAGGCCAGGCACTGAGGGGGCCCTGCCGGCTGCCTCTGCAGTGGGGACCCTCCTCATCGTGAAGAACTACACTGGGGATCGGCTCAACTTCGGCCTGGCCCGGGAGCAGGCCCGGGCTGAGGGCATCCCCGTGGAGATGGTGGTCATCGGGGATGACAGCGCCTTCACCGTCCTGAAGAAGGCAGGCAGGCGGGGACTCTGCGGCACAGTGCTCATACACAAGGTGAGATTTCCCACCCGGGACACTGGCTGGCCGGCACCCCCCACCCCCAGCCTGCTCTTTCCACCCAGCCCACCTCCCAAGAAGCCACTCCTTCCCCAGTGCGCCCTGATCCAGGAAGCCCCTTCAACTACCTAAGCAGAGAATAGAAGCATTCTCCCGGACCTTTCCCTCTCCTTTCCCCACACCCACCCAGTTGCCCTGTCCTAGTGATCCGACTCCCGTATGCCCCTATGACGCACGTGCCCCAGAGCCCTGCCCTTCCTGTCCCACCCTTGGTTCAGGCGCCCATGTGCTCCTGCCCGGGTGGTGGTCGCTGCTCCTCCCTGGGTTCCCTGCCAGCTTCCTGCCTACCCCTCCAGTATGTTCCCCACCCTGCCCCAGAGGTTTTGAAAATGTGTATCTGACCAGCTTGTTCACCTGCTGAAGGCCCCCCAGGCTTCTGAGAGTCAACCAGGGTTCCTTGGCCAGGCGTCCACTGACTAGCTGTGTGACACTGGACCAGTCACCTCCCTTCTTTGGGTCCATTTCTCTGTTTGCAAAGTCTCTTCTGGCTCCCAACACATTGGGGTTCTTGAAGATTCCTGGCAAGTGCACTGTGAACGCAAGAGGGTGCATTCTTCTGCCCTAAATGTGGTGGGCCGGGTTGAGGTGATGGTACTGAGATGCCCTCTTCCCAACCAGAAACTCAGCCCCAGCCGGTCGTCTACCCCTAAGTGGTACGGTGACCCCTTCCCTTCATTCTGTGCGGGTGCAGGTGGCAGGTGCCCTGGCTGAGGCAGGTGTAGGGCTGGAGGAAATCACAAATCGGGTGAGCGTGGTTGCCAAGGCCATGGGTGAGTGCCGGCCCAGGGATTTGGGAGGGGCCGGTGGGAGGTTGAGGCTGACCTTGGGACTGACTAGGAGCAGGTTCCCTGTAGCTGCATAGGAGGGCTTTCCAGGCTACTCCCCAGGGGCTGAGGGAACGTCTCCTGGGGGAGCTCCAGGGGACGGGTAGCTTGGGTCCCCAAGCTGGGTTTCTCTTCCACCACGGAGGTGAAGAGTCTGGTGGCCTGTGTCAGCCAAGAGGCTGCCGTGGGCAAGGCTCCCGAGGTGTCTCTGCTGCCTGGCCCGATGCCCGGTGCTGAGAGCAGGATCTTTCTCACGCCTTGTCCTCGTTCCCGCAGGAACCCTGGGAGTGAGCTTGTCCTCCTGCAGCGTCCCTGGCTCCAGACCCACCTTTGAGCTCTCACCAGACGAGGTGGAGCTAGGCCTGGGTGAGTTTGGGGCCACTCCTGTCCTGGCTGTGCCTGCGCCTGGGTCTTGCCCACGTCTTATGCCCTGGGAGCTTTCCTCCCTGCTCACCTGGAGCAGGCGCCAAAGTAGTCTTTGTTGTTGGGGTTTTTTTAAGTTTATTTAAGTAATCTTTACACCCAACATGGGGCTTGAACTCACAACCCCAAGATCGAGACTTGCATGCTCTTCCGACAGAGCCAGCTGGGCACCCGGGTCTTACTATTTTTATGTGGGCACTTGAGGCCCTTCTGGCCCGGCCTGCCTGGTCTCTTTACCTGCTTTACCGTCCACGCCCAGGGCTCTGGCCATGGGGGCTCTGTGCACCACCCACCTCCTTGTCTTTGTTCACACCACTTCTGGGCCCCTCTACCTCTGCCAGAAATCAGCCCTTCTTTCAAAGGGGGTCAGAGGCCACCCAGCTCCCTTCTTCCTCCCCCCACGCTTCCGAAGTGATAGGCAGAGGCCTCAGGTGGCCTCGCCGTGATTGCCTCTAGTTAAAGCTACTTAACTGGTTAAAAGTTAAGTAGTTAGGTTCTAGCTGTCTCCACTACCCAGCCATAAGCTCCCAGAGAGCAGACTGTGTAGCTTTCATTATTCTGTCCATTGCCCCCGACACTCCTCACATACACGGTGCCTAGCCTCGTGCTGAGTACTTAGTAAATCCTTGAGCAAAACATGAGGAGCAAATCCGCAGGCCCCGAGTGGGTCCACGGTGACCAAGTCTATCCACAGGGATCCACGGGGAAGCTGGCGTGCGCCGGATAAAGGTGAGAGGACTCCGTGGCCCAGACTGGTGTAAGACCAAGGCCTCCCAACGCAGCTCACCCCTGACTCTTCCTTCTGACAGATGGCATCCGCCGACGAGATCGTGACACTCATGCTCGACCACATGACGAACTCCTCCAACGTGTCCCATGTGCCCGTGCAGTCTGGTGAGGGGCTGTCACGCTGCCTCCCAGCCTTTCCTCCCACTCTGGGCAGGGGGCCTGGAGAGTCTCACCTAGGTGTCATGTCTGCCCACAGGCTCCTCAGTGGTGCTGATGGTCAACAACCTGGGTGGCTTGTCATTCCTGGAACTGGGCATCATGGCCGACGCGGCTGTCCGCTCTCTGGGTGAGCCCTGCATCGGAAGGGGACCTCCCCGACCCCTGGAGCTGCTTTCCCTGCAGCCCTTTGAAGCCAGACATGAGAAAAGCAGCCAAGATGGGGTCTTGAGATGGCCCAGAGCAGGGGCGTACAGGCAGACGAGCCCAAGTCAGGCCATCACTCTGCCAGCTGATGACTGGATGCCTTGAGCCTGTCTCCTTGTCAGCTAGGAAGTGGCAACAGTAGTACCTGCTTTATAGGTTCGTTACGAGAATCACACGAGATTAAACAAACATAACGCACTTAGCATACGGCTTGGCACCTGCTGAGAACTCAGTAAAGGAGACTTGTAATTACCTCTCTTCCTTATAGAGGGGGCACCTCTAGGGAATGTGGTAATTCGGGGCATCCCTGAGGGAATCTGGCCCTCTCCCTACTAACCTCAGGACCCTAGCTTCCAAAGTCCTTGTTTCTCTCCGTTTCTTTCTCTGACGCTCTGAGGACAAGTGCCCACCTTCCTCTCCTTCCCTCATGGACCTCCACACTCTGGTATTGCAGAGGGCCGCGGGGTGAAGATCGCCCGTGCCCTAGTGGGCACCTTCATGTCCGCCCTGGAGATGCCTGGCATTTCTCTCACCCTTCTGCTGGTGGATGAGCCTCTCCTGAAACTGATCGGTGAGACCTGGAAGCTGGGGTCATCCAAGCCTGGCCTCCTTGTGGCCAGGAGGAGCCATGGGGACTTGGAGACACCCCCTCAGGGACCATGACCTCTGTGGAGAGGCCCTTTGTGGCTTCTCCAGCCTTCAGCTCTCACTTGAGGCGTTGGTAGTAGGATCCTCCCCAGGGACCCTTCACACTTCCCTTGTACACAGCAGGCACTCAGTACTTGCTTGTTGAGATGGAGGGAACCAGGCACAGGTGGGGAGTCCATGTCCCACTTAATCCCTGACCGGCTGACCTGTGTCTACAAGAGTCATCCTGCTGTTCCTAGATGCCGAAACCACCGCATCAGCCTGGCCCAACGTGGCCAAGGTCTCCGTGACCGGGCGGAAGCGGAGCCGGGCAGCCCCTGCCGAGCCTCTGGAGGTCCCCGATTCCACTGCCACAGGAGGTACTGAGCTGTGCTGTTAGGGAAGTGGCCCAGGGATTTGGCCTGAGCCCCGAAGGGTGTGGGGTAGACAAGGGATCTCCTACCCATGCCTCCCCACACGGGTCAAGTTCATCCTCTTCCCCGCTGGCCTCCCTCTCCAGGCTTAGCCTCGAGGCAGACGGTGCTTGTGCTGGAACGGGTGTGCGCCACCCTCCTGGGCCTGGAGGAACATCTGAATGCCCTGGATCGAGCTGCCGGCGACGGGGATTGTGGCACCACCCATAGCCGTGCTGCCAGAGGTTGGTGCCAGGGTCCCTCTAGGGTTAAGAGAGGAGCTGGTGTAGAACATTGGTTCTGAGATTTTGGCATTTCACGAACCAGAACAATTTTTTTTTTTTTTATTTTTTTTGGCGTTTATTTATTTTTGAGACAGAGAGAGACAGAGCATGAATGGGGGAGGGGCAGAGAGAGGGAGACACAGAATCTGAAACAGGCTCCAGGCTCTGAGCCAACGTGGGGCTGAAACTCACACATCGTGAGATCGTGACCTGAGCTGAAGTCGGACGCTTAACCGACTGAGCCACCCAGGCACCCCGAACCAGAACAATTTCAAAAGCACTGGGAGTGTTCACATGGGATGGACAGCTTTTATTTTTCCCTGAGGTCATTCATAGGACCTGGCATCCCTTTCACCTGTTTTCATAAGAAAAGGTTCTTCTAGGGGCACCTGGATGGTTCAGTCAGTTGAGCATCTGACTTCAGCTCAGGTCATGATCTCGCAGTTCGTGAGTTCAAGCCCCGTGTTGGGCTCTGTGCTGACAGCTCAGAACCTGGAGCCTGCTTTAGATTCTGTGTCTCCTTCTCTCTCTGCCCTTCCCTGCCATGCTCTTTCTCTCTCTTAAAAATAAACATTAAAAAATTTTTTTAAGGAGCACCTGGGTGGCTCAGTCGGTTGAGCGTCCAACTTTGGCTCAGGTCATGATCTCACAGCTCGTGAGTTCGAGCCCCGCGTTGGGCTCTGGTGCCGACAGCTCGGAGCCTGGAGCCTGCTTCGGATTCTGTGTCTCCCTCTCTCTGCCCCTAACCCACTCGCGTTCCGTCTCTGTCTCTCTCAAAAATAAACATTAAAAAATATTTTTTTTAGAAGTTTCTTCTAACACTATAAATGTAGAAATGTTGTTATTGCAGAATAAAATATTTTTTTGATAAAATTACGTACGTACATATGTATGTATATACGTAAGCTCTAGGCCCAACATGGGGCTTGAACTCACAGCCCCAAGATCAAGGGTCGCATGTTCTACTGAGCCAGCCCGGTGCCCCAGCGTGTAATCTTTTATAGTGAATAATAACTTTCAGATTCAAGGAAAACTCATATAATTGTCCTTATGTTTCTCAGCTTACCCAGACTAATGAAAGGCTCTTAATTATCCAGCCACCATGGGCTGGATTCCATCAAGAATTAGGCCCACCCCGGGCCTGGCACTGCTCTGCGGCTCTGAATACAATAGTGAGCCAAGCAGATAAAACTCCCTGCCCTCGTGGCACGGGTGGAGGAGGCAAACAGCCGACGAGGAGTATCCAGGAAGGAGGACGCAGGGCAAAGGGCTGAGAAGTGAAGCAGGGGCTTGAGGCAGGGAACGCCAGGCCGAGGGTGTCCGGGGCATGCCTCAGCTTCTGGGTGACAGGTGCCAAGGTCCCTGTCAGTCCCGGTTTCCCACCGCTCTGCAGACTGCCCAGAGGGTGTAGAAAAGGAGCTTTGGGGGGGGCGCCTGGGTGGCTTAGTCGGTTAAGCCGCTGACTTCGGCTCAGGTCATGATCTCCCGGTCCGTGAGTTCGAGCCCCGCGTCGGGCTCTGTGCTGACAGCTCAGAGCCTGGAGCCTGTTTCAGATTCTGTGTCTCCCTCTCTCTGACCCTCCCCCGTTCATGCTCTGTCTCTCTCTGTCTCAAAAATAAACAAACATTAAGGAAAAAAAAAAAAGAAAAGGAGCTTTGGGAATCTCCCGAGGTTGGATTCCTCAGCCTCTTCCTGTGGCCATTACTTCAGCCTGGCAGCAAGGCCTGGGTGCTTGGTTGGGGTCCAGGCAGATGGGAGAGTCTGAATTCTTCGATGATTTTCTGTCTGCAGCAATCCAAGGGTGGCTGAAGGAGGGTCCACCCCCTGCCAGCCCTGCCCAGCTACTCTCCAAACTGTCTTTCCTGCTGCTGGAGAAGATGGGAGGCTCCTCTGGGGCGGTGAGTGCCGGCAGCCCCTGGGACCGGAGGGCTGACAGAGGGATCCTCCCGGTTGGCTAAGGCCCAGGCCAGCCCCGTGTGCTCAGCATTTTGGTCCTTCCCAGCTCTATGGCCTGTTCCTGACTGCGGCGGCCCAGCCACTCAAGGTCAAGACAGACCTGCCAGCCTGGTCTGCTGCCATGGATGCCGGCCTGGAGGCCATGCAGAAGTGAGCCAGAGCCCCGGGCCTGAGACCAAGGGTGGGCTGGGGGCAGTGGATGATGTCACCCACTCCCAGCCAGGCCCGATCCCCACTCCTAAAGTGACTCCCTGCAGGGAGTCCCACACATTGTCTTTCCCTGCCAGGTACGGGAAGGCTGCTCCAGGGGACAGGACTATGGTGTGTATTCAGCCCAGCCCTTCCCTCTTTTGAGTATAGAGGCCCTGAAGGCCCCCCTCTGTGGCAGGGCCTCTCCTCAGTCCCCTTTCCCTCACCTTGTCCAGCTGGATTCCCTGTGGGCAGCAGGACAGGAGCTCCAAGCCTGGAAGAGCCCAGGGGCCAATCTGTTCCATGTTTTGACGAAAGCAGTCCAGGTGAGTGAGGCTGGGACCCAGCCACCCAGGAAGACAGGCTTGGAGCCACTAGGTTCCCATCTCTATGTGACCCTGAACAAGTTAATATCCTTCCTGTACCTGTTTCCTCCTCTGAACAGCGAGAGGAGTACCTATCTCAGGGGTACTGTGAGGCTAAGAGAGATGTGCAGCCCCAGCACAGTGTCTAGGACATAGCAAGCCCTCAGGAGATGGTAATTCTTGCCCTGCCAGACGTATGTGAGAGGTGACCTCTCCACCCTGGTGACAGTACTCAGGGCGTTGATAGGGCTGGGGCAGAGGGGTGCAGGGTCCATGGGAGGAAGGAGGCCTGGTGGCTTGTCTTTGAGCCTGCTCCCATGTTCCCACTCAGAGTGCGGAGGCTGCAGCCGAGGCCACCAAGACTATGGAAGCGGGAGCCGGGAGAGCCAGTTACATCAGCTCTGCGCGGCTGGATCAGCCGGACCCTGGGGCAGTGGCCACGGCCACCATTCTCCGGGCCATCCTGGAGGCCCTGCAGCACGAGGGTGTGTGAGCGCCTCCTGGGCCTCTGTGCCCCTCTCATCGCGGCTCAGCGGTGGCCACTGGCAGTTCCTCCTGTCTTCCAGCTGTGACCCTCCCTGTCCCCTTGCCCCCAGGGCCTGTCCTGAGTTTGGCAGGGAACCCTCTACCAACCTCCAGAATTCCTACAGAAACTGCAGGCCCAGAGTGGGTCATGTACCACCTTAGCGCTGCCCTTTCCCTCTTCAGGGAGGTAGAATTCTGGGGTCATGCTGCTCTGCCCCAGCCACCTCGAGGCCTCAGTGATAGGCATTTTCCTTGGGTGGCAACATGGCCTTTAACTGGCCATGCTAATTTGGTTTTAAGGCTTCCTGTGAAAGCCCTTCCGACCTTGACCCTGAGCCAATGTGAAAAACAAGCAAATAAACCACATGGAAGCAAGAGCTCCGGCTTCTGCTGAGGGAGATTTTTCCTACCAATACACCAGGCACTAAGGCCTCAGCCTCTGGTTGAAATGATCATGACCCGGGGTGCCTGGGTGGCTCAGTGGGTTAAGCATCCCAACTTTGGCTCAGGTCACGATCTCAGAGTTCGTGAGTTCGAGCCCTGCGTTGGGCTCTGTGCTCACAGCTCTGAGCCTGGAGCCTACTTCAGAGTGTCTCCTCTCTCTGCCCCTCCCGTGCTCACATTCTGTCTCTTTCTCTCAAAAATAAATAAACATTTAAAAAAAAAGAGAGAGAGAGATGATCACGACCCATACCCTACTACCTGACACCCAAAGGTAGGGTCTACGCAGCTGGGCTGGCTCCACTGGGATCCCATTCCTGTTCTCCCTCCAGTACACACACCACACCTCCTAGGTGTGCTTTTCTCAGCACTACGATAACCTTCAGGAATCCAGTGGGCAAACAGGACACCAGAAGAAATCACCGTATTTTATATATAATTTTTTTTGAAATCACCATATTCTAAAGCTCAGTGGTAGGACAGAAGCTACACCCAAGCCAAACCCCAGGTCCCTAGGGCAATCACTGACAGCACCTGGGCAAGCAGGAGGGGCTGCTGCGTCCGGTGCACGGTACAGACGATACACACACCTGGCCCGTGCTCGGTGCAGGGGAGCAGTTAAAGGCACTGGTGTGCACTCAGACACAACTAAATCCCGATTTGGCTTCAAACCGGCTACATAAACTCAGGCCCACTATTTAGCCTCTTGGAATCTGTAAAATCAGAACAGTACCCGTCTCACAGGGACAAGGACAGGGACTGACATGAGCTGAAGGCAAAGCCCCCAGCACAGCCCAGGTGCTCACTCGCTGAGTTCCTGTTATCACTAGTGTCTGCACCCGACTCCTGCTGGGTCATCTGATCCACCAGCAGTCATCTGTATCTACAGCTGGTCACAGAGGGAAGGGGGCCCTCCGTCACTTACTTTACCCAAAGTTGGCCGCAGGCTCCCTCAGTCCCTGGGCTTCTCTGTTCAGGGTCCCCTGTCCATCATGAGTCTGCACCTCGGGTCCCTCGTCACTAGGTATGGTTTTCAGTGCATAGGTGCGCACACCCAGCAGCTGGGAAGGAGACTGGCATAAACACCTGGTCTGTGGATCCCAACTCTACCACTTCCTGGCTCAGTGATCTCAGCTACCAGTGACCAAGTCACTACCCAGTTTCTGAGTTCCAGTTGTAAAAACAGGAAACATTTCCTTCCTTGTGAGATAACCAAGTACTCAGAAGCTTTTCGTTACTAAGGACGTCCAGACATACCATGAGTCACATACCATTCAGCCTGGAGAGGGCTGCCTGGAGGGCAGCCTGGAGATCTCTGGCGCCTTTTGGTGTGTTTCTCCCCAGTCTGAAGGTCCCAGCTGTCCCGAGGCTTTCACAAGTTTCCCGGAGCTCAATTAACCACAACGTGATCACAGTAGAGAAGGCTTTGATTCTTTAAAACACGATTAAAGGAAACCAAGCTGCGTGAACAAGTTACAGCTCCACCCGTACGGAAAGAGGGGGCGCGGGGCACGTGACTGAGGTGCCTGGAAGTCATCCCAGTGGCTTCAAAGGCTCCATCCCCTCAGGAAGTCCAGTCACAGTCCTGCCGACATCGGGCCACATGGAGTTGGGGTGGACGGTCCGCCTCCTCACCACCTGCCAGGGGTAAGTGCACTGGTGCTGCTGGTCACTGAGCACGGCAGTATGGAGCTGGGTCCCAGCAGGGCTCATTTGGAGAGGGCGGGAAAAGCCACGGCCCCATCACTTCAGAGAGGAGCAGATTCCCCTGTCCCATCCCCCCCCCCCCCCCCCGCAGCTCGCCCTCAGGCATAACACGAGACTGGGTTTGGTCAAGCAAGTAGCCACTGAGGGGGCAAATGAGGCACTCTGGTACTCAGCAGGGAGCACCTTGGAAAGCCGCCCACCGGGCACAATGCACCACAACTTTGGCTTGTTGCATGGGGAGCTAGAGAGTGAAAATCAGCTGGGCAGGGGCTCTGCCAAGAGAGCGAGGCTGAGCCTGCCCGGGGCCAGGTGGGGAGGCCCTGATCCGGGCAGGGGCAGGAACGGAAGTCCGAGGCGTCCCTGGGGCTCATCCCTTGTGGGGCAGCCGGGGTCACACGGTTCTTGGGAGAGTAGGTCATCAGGGTTCCTCGGGCTGCCCGACATTGACGGGCACCTAAGTCACAGGGAAAGGCCAGGATCTAGGCCAGGGCTGTGGCAGCAGCGAGAGGTGGAGGCACGTGGTCACAGTGCAGGTGGACGAGGAATGCAGCGACACGAAACAGAACAGCAAAGAGCAGTCAGCTCCTCAGCTTCTCTGCGGAAGCCCCTCTGCTGCCCTTCTTCTCCTTCCATCACCTTCCATCACCTTCCACCTTCTCCATTCCAGCCTCACGTCTGGGCGGGCTGGATAGAGGGCACGGCAGATGCTGGCCGCCCAACGGTCAGGGCGGCCCAAATATAACGCACGCCTTCCGGGGAAAGCTGCCGGACACCGTTAACCTCCCTCACTTTCCACGTACAGGTTGCACCTGCGTCCTGGCTTATCTGAGCTGGAGAGAGTCTCTACCAGATCCTTAGGGGCCGAGAGGGGATATCAGCTTGACTTCACACAGGGAGCAGGGAGCACACAGCGTGAGCAGCTGGGGCGGCGTGTGTGGAGAACCCGAGAAGTTGATGCCAGGAAGGGGTAGAGAAGCCACCAAGCAGAGCGGGTGGGCAGGAGATTGGTGGGGAGAGCAGGCCCCACGCGGAGGCCAGAAGAGGTTCGGGCCCAGAGCGCAAAGCTGGTCTGTTGCCGAAACCAGAGAGGAGGCCCTGGCAGAGAAGAGCTTCTGGGGGGAAACACCTCCACCTGCTCGTGGGTGCCCTTCCCGCTTCACTCCCCGTCACGCAACAGGGGCTGGAAAGACAGGCAGAGGCACAGGCGTTAATGGCAGGACACCACAACTGCCCCTGACTGGCAGGAGTCGCACCTGGCCTGAGCTGTTCAGACAGACCCCCGACCCGCAGGGCGGTCCCTGCCCAAGCCACCACATCTCTCAGGGAAGCCCCAAAGTCCCTCAGTCCGATGCACCCCCCCGTCTCACCACATCCCTCAGGGGGAAACCTACCCACACACCGAACCCACACCGAACCCGTCAGCCAGCACCTGCTGGATAAGCTCCGCCCCCAAGACCAGCCCCAAAGCTGGGAGAATGGGAATTCCGACACCCTCTCGTCATGCTCAAGCCCTTCCTTGGAGGACAGAAGGCCACACTTTCCCCTCATGAAGCCACAGGAATTTGGAGAAGGGCGTAACCATCTGTCCTCTCCCAAGGGACAGGCCCCGGGGGGCCTCTGAGCAGCTCCATTTGCCCCCATGGCTGGGATGAGCCGCTTTGACACAGTGCCCCCCCATCAGCCAACCTAACCCCACCATCAGTCGACCCGGTTTCCCACCATGTTACTGAGCGGGCTTCCCGGCAAGGCCCGAACCCTTCCTGGGTGACCCTTCTCTAGGCCTGGCCCTATCCCAACCTGGAATGAAAGACCCAAGACCCCGTACCTGTCCTTCGCTCAGGATCCCTGGCTCTGGGCGTTTCCAAGACGAAACCAGGAGGATATAGAGCACCAGTAGCCCAAAGACCACGACCAGCATCCCAGTGCTGTTGGCAAAGACAGCTTCACTGGGCAGACTGGAGTATGGCTGGGTGGTGTTGTTCCTGAAGATGACAAAACACCGTGGGCCCTCGAGAGATTTTTGCCACCTGTTTTTGCCCAGTGATAGACCCAACACCCTTAACAGATGGTGAGAAAAGCTTCCAAGGACCATCTGTGACCTGGAATGTTAACATAGTTTCTGGTCCCCGCCACCACCACAAGTATCTGCAGGATGCTTTTCACCCGTGAGGAAACTAAAGCTCAAAAATATGAGCTTGCCCACAGTCGTACAACTAGTAAATGGCATAGCCCAGACTTAAACCCAAGTCTGACCTCATATCTTCCTTGCTTTTCACTACCCACCCCCCATGCCTTAAAATAATGGGGGATGGTAGTGGTTAGGCACGAGGTGGTCATCTTAACCCCCAGCTCTGCCACTTTCGGGCCGTGTGGCCTTAGGGAAGTTACTTAACTTCTCTGTGCCCCAGCTCCCTTATTTGTAAGTGGCAATGACAACAGTATCCATGTTGTAAAATGATCAGAGGATTAAATTTAAGGCGCTTAGAATAGCTTCTGACACACAGTAGGTACTAAGTCAATCTGATGGTAGATAAATTTTTGCTGACCAATTTACCAATCCCAACCTAAAGATTCCATGACCTTCCAGATCAAGAACAAGCCCATCTCCAAAGGCTCCCCACCCCTGGAGAGGCCCTGTGACCACAGGGTGCATCTTTGGAAGACGCTATGCCTTCCCCTAGACATTAGAGCTGGGGGCCCCATCCCACTCACAAACTGAAGAAGAGCTTCTCATTAATGCCGGAAATGACAGACGCAATGGACAGAAAGAGGATGACAGCTCCAAAGAAGACGTGGATGGGTTTAAGGAGGCTGCGCAGCCACACGGACACCCACGGCAGCAGGAAGACGACAAAGCCCAGGAACCACTGTGAACACAGGGAGGTGCCTGACTGCACCGTGCTGTTCCCGAAGGTGTAGCAGGCCATCCCGCCCACCTGGGCCCCCGACCCCGCAGTGGCCTCTCGCCCTTCTTTCCCAGCTCAAACCTCCCACCGGCTCCCGCACTATGGTCGATTTCTTAGCCGAACCAGAATGTTCCACGAAATGCTCAGCTACAAGCCCAGTCTCCCGAAAGCCCTTGTAATGTCTCTGCTGCCTTCCAGTCCCGGCCCATAAAACTCGCCTGTGCAAGGCTGACGTCAGTGTGCAGAAACCACTTCCAGAATTGCTTCTGGTTCACAGAAAGGTGGGGACGGGGAAGGTGGAAAAGATCACAGACCGCATCAGCGTGGTATGTGCTATGATAAAGCTAGGACAACGGAGGGGCAGGGGGACGGGCGTGGGAACTACCAGTCTCCTGCGGCCACTTAAGCTGCCGATTCTATGGGATGCACCCTGCAGGGCCATCTCTGGGCAATAACCGGAGGGGGTATTTGGTGCGGATGCCAGCGAAGTCCCAACCGGAGCCCACGGCCGCCGTCTGGGAGCGGGAACCCGAAGGAGAGGACCCACCTGGCAGGCAAAAAGGAAGACGGTGACGATGCCCAGCCAGCTGTGCAGGGAGTAGAGGCTGACGGTGTTTTCGTGGTTGTGAAACTGAAAGACGACGACCAGCCCCAGCACGGTCAGGATGAAGGCCAGCAGGTGCAGGACTGCGTGGCCAATCTTCCATGGCAGCTTGGGCCCCACCCACGACTGCGGCAGGCGGTACACCAGCGATGCTGCGGGAGAGAACGTCCCAGGGCCCGGCCTCTTCCCCTCGGCTCCCCCAGCACATTAGGGGGAATTAACCTGACGCAGTCCCACACCGCCTCCCAACCAGAGAGGAAGGAAATGCCAGCACGTGGCCACCCACTCCCCGGCATCTCCTCTCCTCACATCGTTTCAGCCGTGAAGGGGGCAGAGGGAGACAAAACAGTGACAAAAAGGGAGAAGCGGGTTTCTTGGACCCACCGGTCTGTCATTACATAATGATGTGTACATATGTCATTACGTAACAAACGCGCTCAAGCACAGTTCTGCGGGTGAGAAAGCAATGTCGCTTTCATTATTTCTTCCACCTTCTTACAAGCGCAGTTAGCGGTCACAAACCCGGGCTCTTAATCGGGTTACACAGACCGAGGTCCACAGCCCGGCTCTGCCTCTCAGCTCTGTGGCCTCTTGTTTCTAAATCTCAGTTTCCCCATCTGTAAAATGGGAAGAGCGGCAGAGCCCATCTCACAGGCTTCTCGTAGGAACAAAATGGGCTGAGGTATCTGAAGTGCACAGGTTAAGCAGCTACGACCAATGTCATCACCGTTCCCATTTTACAGGTGGGGAAAGTGAGGCTCACTTGGGCCCAAGGCCCAGCTCTGGATGCACGGGGCAAACACGGGCCTGGCACGGGTAAGCAGCTTCCTCATGGAAGGACCCGTGTCATGAGACGCTTCAATCTCCTGCTCCCTAAAGCAGAAGTTGGCAAACTACAGCCCATGGGCCAAGTCCAGCCTGCCATGCATTTTTGTGAGTAGTTTTACTGGAACACGGTCACGGGCGTGTTTTCATGTCATCTATGGCTGCTCACGATACAAGAATAAGGATGGGTAGTTGCAACACAGATCGTAGAGCCTGCAAAGCCTGGAACGTTTACTATCTGGCCCTTTACAGAAAAAGCGTGCCAACCCCCCGCCCCAGAGTGTCCGTGAAGCTCTGCTTCTCAGATGGCCCCCCTCCTCACTACTACCTTCCTGTAAATGACACCCGGGGCCACAGACAGCCCGGCCTCCCCCCACTCTCGTAGCCGCAAACCCAGCAGTGACAAAAGCCGGCTGTGGGAGGGAGAGCTCTGTCCCGGCCGGGTCTGGGTCACAGCACGTCTCCCAGGACCTCGTACTCACCAGCACTGTAGACCACCACTGAGCCAGCGACCATGAACACGGGGTGATAGTTGAACATGAGGCGGCTGGTGCCATCCCAGGCAAAGCCACCATGCCACAGCTGCATCCAGTAGATGGTGAGGATGACGCACATCAGGCCCAGCAGCGACAGTGCATAGAAGGACAAGTAGAACCACCCGACAGCCATTCTGACCAGGCGCCCCTGGAAGCAGCAGAGGTCACACGTCCCCGCCGGCTCTGCTGGCTGGAGCGCACCCCACACGCCAGCTAAAGGAGGGAACACTGAGCTCGCTCTTGCCCAAGGGGTGGGTGCTTTTCACTTCAGATCTCCTGCCACCAGCCCGGGCACTGCCCCGTGAGGCCTGATCTCTGGTTATGGACAGTGAGGCTGGCCCCACCCCAGCATCCAACGGTACACAGTACGGCCAGCTTGGGCCTGTGGCCGGCTCTGGAGAGGGCCCTCCTCTGCCCAGGCCGGACGTCAAGGCTCTGGGCCCAAAGCCCTGCGATTAGTCTCCCTTCACAGGGCCAAAAGGTAAAGAATCCACCCCACCCTCTCCCCACGGAAAATTAGGGATAGGAATCAAAATCCAGGCTAGAGTCATAGAAACGCCTCAGCCCTCAGTTCTAACAGAAGGAGGCAAAACCATAATCTGCAATGAGCAACACACCATCATTAGGAAGAAGGAAGAGAGGAAGTCCTATGATCTCCCACTTCTACAAAAAAGTTCTTCCCCAGACGGTGAACTCCGTGGGGCTAAACCTCCCACTGAGGAAGTAAGATCAGGCTGTTGCTCTAGAACCTCCCACACTCCACACTTGCAACTGGACAACAGCCCTCAGGTGTCCCCAGGCCTGACACTTCTGCTTTCTCTTCCTCCGTGGAAAGTTCAGAGGAGAAAGGAGGAAGCAAGAACTCATAGTCTAGAAAGCAAGAGTTTATTTTTAGCTTTCCCTGTGTACCTGATAAACTCAGAAACCAACTCTGGTTTCAGACAAATGCCTCGGGCCCTAAGCAGTTGCACTTTAACACCAGGCAGGTGGGCGTGAGGTTTGGCTGGCAAACACACAAAGCCACAGGGCCGTCTCGGCTTTTCCGCTAACTACACCTGCAGGCAGCACAGGCCCAGCTCTCAAGGCGGTCACCCTGTCCCGCAGACTCACACCGAGAAGGGGACACTGCGGCAGGCTGCAGTTCAGATCCCTTAATCTGAGGCCGCTAACAGAGAGGAAAGGAAGTCCCTGAAACCGGCCAGAACTCCCAAGGAGGTAACACACTGGATTCCCTCACCTTTAGAATTAGTGGTAGGCTGACAGAGTGCGGGCCTAGGCTCCGATCCTTATGAAATGAGGCATCTGGAGGAAATCACTTAGCATGTGTAGGACTCAGTCTTCTCATCTGAAAAAAGGCATGGTAACAGGAATAGAACTTACTGAGTAGAACCTGTGAACGCAGGATCCCATTTGCTCCTCTTGACAACCCTGTGAGAGGTCCTCAACCCCACTTTACAGAGGAGGAAACCAAGGGTCAGAAAGATTTGGGACACCTGAGCGGTTCGGTCGGTTAGGCATCTGACTCGATTTCGGCTCAGGTCATGATCTCACGGTTTTGTGAGTTCAGGCCCCATGTGGGGCCCTGTGCCAACAGTGTGGAGCCTGCTTGGGATTCACCCAGTCTCTCTGCCCCTCCCGTGCTTATGCTGTCTTAGTCTCTCTCAAAATAAATAAATAAAACTTAAAAAAAAAAAACCAACTTAAAAAAAAAGAAAAGAAAGATTAAATACCAGCATTAGGACCCAGTAAAGGGGTAGGAAGTTTCAAATCCTTGTCCGTTTGGCTTCAAGTCCCCTGTTTTTTTACCTTGACCATAGGTTGTCAGAAGGTCAAGTGAGGGGCGCCTGGGTGGCTCAGTTGGTTAAGCGTCCAACTTCGGCTCAGGTCATGATCTCACAGTTTGTGAGTTCGAGCCCTGTGTCAGGCTCTGTGCTGACAGCACGGAGCCTGGAGCCTGTTTCAGATTCTGGGTCTCCCTCTCTCTCTGCCCCTCCCCTGCTTGTGCCTTCTCTCTCAAAAATAAATAAACATTAAAAAAAAGTTTTTTTTTAAAAAAAAGGTCAAGTGAGAAAATGTCCGTTAAGGACGCTGTGAGAGCTAAATATTCTGCTTTTCTCGATGTTGTCACAGCAGTTCATCCAAGCTACCAACTAAAGCCTGAAGCTCGTGGTCCCCGTGGCTGCCCAGGCCTCTCAGTGGCCCCAACAGCATGTCACGCCAGTTCTCTCCATGACAGGTGTCCACCTAATCAGAAAGACACTGAGCTCTCACAATGTGATCCAAGTTAGCAGTCACCACACTGAGAAAGTTACATCCAAGGGCTGGGGGAAAACCAAGCTTCCATAAGGCTAGAAGGAGAAAATAATGTCTTCCTAGAAGCTTCCTGACTCAACTCCTGAGCTCAGAGATTTGCTGCCCAGCCTCAGAGGCGTCCCCTTAGTCCCAATAAGAGCAGAGGAAGTTTCGGGTCACCAGATGTTCAGTCACCCCCCAGTGAAGTCAGCATGAAGCACTTGGTCAGCAGGCTCCATCCATCAGACAATATCTCTCATGACTTTCTTTTCCTTTGGAGGAGAAAAAAACAAAAGTAAATATAACCCAAAAGAGACTGTCTCCACCCTCCTGGATTACTGCTCTGGGACAGACTTAGAATATTCAACGGGGACACTTTCCTGAACGAGGGCTGCAATATTACACTGCTCACAGTACACAGAAGAGCCCTTCCTCTGCCCGAGTGTGCAAAAACAGAGAAAAAAAGAATACAGTGAAAACTGCAACCCAAACGCTGAGAACAGTCTTTCATTTATTCCAAGAAAGTAGGTTTGTGCTATGATTTCAGGGTGTGCTCACCATTGTTTGGTCTCTGATTCTGCCCATTCCAAAGCAGAAATCCCCATACGCTTCTACAAAGGCCCAGAATGGTAAATACCTTAGGCTTTGTAGGCCGGACAGTCTCTGTCACAACTATGCCATCGACTCTTCTGATGTAGTGCAAAAGCAGGCACAGACAACACCTTCACAAATCAACACGGCTACGTTCCCCTAAAAACTTTATTTGCGGGCAAATTTCAGGTTCATGTTGTCTTTACATATCACAAATATTATCCTTTTCGTTTCTGTTAGTTATCTAAAAATGGAAAAACCTTGGAGCGCCGGAGTGGCTCAGTTGGTTAAGCGTCCTGACTCTTGATTTCAGCTCAGGTCATGATCTCACAGTTGCGTGAGCTCGGGCTCCACGTCCAGCTCTGCGCTGACAGCACAGAGTCTGCTTGGGACTCTCTCTCTCTCTCAAAATAAATAAACATTTTTTTTTAATCAAAAAAAAAAATGCAAGTGTGCCAGATTTGGCCTGGAAGTTACAAGTTTTGTCAACTGTGATCTAAGAAACATACTCCCCAACCTAATACTTTCCTCGGTCCCTTGACAAAAAGGATTCTCCCTGGCTGCATCAGGCCCTGGGGTAGGAAATGGGTAAGTTTCCATTCAGCTCTTAATCTTAGGAAAAGGCTCTATTCCAAGCTCTTATATTACTTTTATAATTTAGAACTACAAGCAGATGAAGGGATAGAAAGTCGATTTGTTGTTCCTGCTTCCGGATGAATGGTGGGGGATTTAGGAATCCTGAGAATCAGACTTCAGGTTCAAGTCCTAAACGCTTCTCTGACAGATCAAAATCACCGGGACCCAAAGAAAGAAAGCGACTTGGCCACGGTGAGTGGCAGAGCTGGTACAGGAACCCAGGTTCACTTCCCCTCAGCTCCAAGAACGCCTCACTTCCAAACGTAGCTTCTGTAAAATCAGGGCTCAGGAGTGAGGACCCCTGAACTCCAGCCAGGAGGTAGGTAAGCAAGGTGCTCCTTAGCACCACAGTGATTACAGACCCGCCCTTCCGGACTGCTCCCGTTTGGCTCCGGTGTCGGGAGAACCGCTCCAGGAATCCGGAGCCCGATCCCTGACTCTTCTGCGGGGACGAAGGGCGGCTGTCGGTCCTAGCTAACCTTCGGTGAAAACTACGGCGAGGAGCTCCGCCTGCTGACTGCGACTTCCGAAGAGCTTTCGTGCCTGTGCAACCACACCTGTAGAAGGAAGGGCACGGACAGCGGTGTCCATTTCCTACAAAAGAAAGCTGAGCCCGAGCGAGGGGTAGCGACAGCACGAGGGGAAATAGCAGCGGAGCCAGCACTCGAACCCAGGTCCGTGAACTCCCCACCCGAGCTCTTTCTCACCCCCGAACCACAGAGGGTCGCAGGGGTCTCTCGCCACCCGGCGCCGCGGCTACTAGGACTCCGGGAAGTTGGAATCGGGGACTTTCGGAGACAGACCCACCCGCCGGGCACCGCCACCCAGTGCCAAAAGAGCCGGGCCGCCGCCCTCTCTTATAGGCTCATAGCACTTCCGGCCGCGCGCGCGGCCGCCTGGGAAATGAAGTCTGGAGTTGTGGACTCCAACATCAGTCCTTCCGCTGGTGTTTCTTCCCTAGGGAGTACCGCCCCGGCTCCGCCCTGCCTCTCACCCCGTCCCCCATCTCGCGTTCGGGCAGACGCGAAGCCTCTCGCCTGGGGCTGGGTCTCAGCAAGGCCGCGGGACAGCGACTGGGAGGGACAGGAGCTGGACGCGGCGACGCCGGGAAGGCACCAGAGGACCGAGCCCAGGGAAGCGGGGGCCCAAACATGGCGGCCGGGCTGGCCACAGAGCGCGGAGGGAAAGCCGAGGACCCGCGGACAGCCCGGCACGGACGGCGCCCGCGTCCGCCATCTACTTCCGGGATTTAAAACCTCTTCCCGGAAGCCAGGCCGGCGTCCCCATGACAACCGACGTTGGGTCTCCGAGGTGAGCGTGCTTGAGGAGTGGGGAAAAGGGACCAGGGTCGGAGTTTTCGTTGTCGCTGTTTGGGTTTGGGTGTTTCGCCAAGACAGCCCCGTGTTGAGGTGAATTGGGAAGGGTGAGGAAAACTGCCCTGGGGACAGAGGGAACGCGGCACCGAGCGGTGGGACGGACCGAAGACGGCTTCGTTCTGTCGCGCATCACTGCTGCCCTAAAGCGGAGGTCATCCTTCCCGTAGATTTGGCGGTGGGCGCTTCTGGGTCACGGTTCCTCACGACAGCTCTCCGTGGTGGCCCGTGAAGTCCTAGCTTAGAGCGCGGGCTTTGGTGTCACCCCCCGTTGTGAACCCTGGCTCTGCTCACCAGCTACCTGGAGGAATGACTTGAACCCTGACCCTGTATTCTTGTCTTTAGAACGGGGGATCATTCTTAACTACCTTGCAGAGCAGTTGCGAGGATTAAAGGAAGTTATACCTGGTTGAGGTTAACGTGGTGCTGGTAGGGGGTGATAGCTATCAGTATTATTTGACGAATGAGTGAAATTGCCATCATGCAGCCACTCAAGGCGGGGGGGTGGGGGGGTGGGGGGATGCTTCTTCACCAGGTGAGGTGGATGCGGTTCGCTAACCTCTCAGAGCCACTGTATAATATGGGGATTATATTCGTAATAACTGTCTCCTTCTCAAGATGGGTGTAGGAGTAAATAATGTAATGAATATAAAGAGTTTGTAAATTGTAAAACATTTTATAGATGTTAATTAAAACTTTTTTTTTTTAATTTTTTTTTCAACGTTTATTTATTTTTGGGACAGAGAGAGACAGAGCATGAACGGGGGAGGGGCAGAGAGAGAGGGAGACACAGAATCGGAAACAGGCTCCAGGCTCTGAGCCATCAGCCCAGAGCCTGACGTGGGGCTCAAACTCATGGACCGCGAGATCGTGACCCGGCTGAAGTCGGACGCTTAACCGACTGCGCCACCCAGGCGCCCCTAATTAAAACTTTTTAAATATATATTTATTTTTGAGAGCGAGAAAGAGAGAGAGGGAGACAGAGAATCCGAAGCAGACTCCAGGCTCCCAAGATGTCAGCACAGAGCCCCCACGGGGGTGGGGCTCGAACCCAGAACTCTGAGATCATGACCCGAGCTGAAGTCGGACACTCGACCGACTGAGCCATCCATGTGCCCCGATTTACAGATGTTAATTTAATTTCACTCTCTTACACTTCACAGGATTTTGAGATTTGTTTGTAGATTTCACCCGGCTGGAGGGGTCACAGGACACCTTGGGCCTTGGAATGTACCTTCCCCGGTGCCACTATGTGGCTGCCACCTTAAACATAAAAGTTTTGCAGGAGACCACGATTTCCTCTCAGCCTTTTCTGCCTGCACCTCTTCCCACTTCTCCTGTGCCAACGTCTTTCCCACCTAGTGACATATCAGCCTGTTACATAAGA